AATTAATAATTATTCTTATTATACGCTCCTCGCAAAGTTTCCAAGTTTGTAATAAAAAATGTTCAATTCTGCGGCCCAATGAAATTTGTTTAAAATTAAATTAATAATTACAAGTGTTATTTTGCTAATATAATTGTGGCTTTATTAGAAAAATAATAATAACTGGAATTGTTGAAGGATCAAATGGTACTTTGTCCATTTCATATGAAATATACTACTGTTCCAAACTCAACTTGTCTTTTATTACTGTTTAATCCTTTCTTGAATGTTCATTGTGTCATGTCTATTGCAATGTTCATGATGATTATGCAATGCATTTGATAATCTCATCGCCCAAGTAATAATAACACTAAGACCATGCAGAGATGAAACTTTTAAGGAGCCAAAATAAATAAATAATTAAAATAATTAACTAATTCCGTTCCAAAAATTTCATTTTTACAAGTTTGTAGAATTCCTTAAAAATCATTCCCAAAAAATAACTTGATGTTCTTTGACGATGGTAAATCAGATGGTGGTGATTGAGTTGACGATCGATTATTATTTTGAGTTGGTGAAGTTTCTTCTACAGGCGCAGGATAATACCCATGTTTAACGCCAATCCTGATCATTTAAGTCTTCCTACTGTCAACATGCAATTGCAAACCAGTGACCCCTCATAGCCATAGATTTTTTTCCAGAGGTGAGATATTGGAAAGCTTTGGACAAGTGAGAGGCTTAACAGTCTCTTTGACAACAACGCAATTAATAAATTCCAGGGCAGTGCTCCCCCGAAAATTTAATTGCATCATCCATCATATCAAGTAAGATTATCTTATGTACACGAGGAAGATGAGGATGATCACAATGGTTTAAATATTTGAGCCCCAAGTAACTTCAACATCTATAGATATCCGATAATCAAATGTTGCATATTGAGTTGAGCCCAGTTTTCTTTCCATGAGAGAGAGATCTTCAACAGTCACGTTTCTTTTCTTACCTCTGACATTTCTTATGATTATTTAATATTAATAATGACAATGTAAAGCAAGTATATCAATCCCCCGGCTTTAAAAGGGCTAAATAAACCACCTGATTGGTCTGAGCCCATTTGTTATTGTGATAAAAGAATCTTATATAATTGCCTGTCACACTATATAAAGTGGACTTTCACTCAATATAAAAAAAGGAGGGGAGGCGCGTATATGTATCATCACTAAATTAATAGTTACGCGCACAAAAAATAAATATTATTAAACGTTTTATTTTCATTCTCATGTTCGTATATACTATTGCTACCGTTTTAATGTATGGATCGCTTCTATTCGAGGTAATTATCATAAATGTTATATTTTTGTACGTGAAAATCAAATTTGCGCCAATTTGAAATTTAATATTAAAATTCTGATTGGCTAATTTTGAATTTCACACGCGTGAATTTCAGATCCCAAATTCACGCACAACATTTTGATGAATTATATATGATAAATGAATGGTAAAATGATAATATCTATTAACTAGAAATTTTTAATGATAGATTCGTTGGCAGATTTTTTTTTTCTGCCGCAGAAATTCACCGCCTTAGAGGTCGCACCCAATGAATAATATTCGGTGAATATCCAATGAATATTTGGTTAATCGGAACTTTGTTTTTTCATTAATTTAAAAATGAATATTCAATGAATTAATTGTCAAATAAATTCACATTTAATTAAATTTAAAATGGAAGACTGTATGTACCAGGAAATTTATCCGCTAAATCGAGATATAATTAAATCATGTAATATGTTACACTAAAATATTATAATAATAAAAAATCGTTTTAAAATGTTAACAATAATCTTCTATCCTTGTTTGTATTTGATGAGGATTTTTATAAGACGAAACATAATACACATGTAAACTTGATAAGTCGGAAACAGCAATCAATTGTCTAAATGCGATAAGATGATGATTGATGAATTGAGATATGATGATAATCAAGTTGGATGAGTGAGATGATTTTAGTGACATGAATAATTGATGCCGTATACGTTTATAAATGAATAGTGATTATTGTGTTGATGATAATGATGATAGATGAAATATTAATATTGATCGTTGATTATTATTATTAAATGATGATTAATTTTGCCATGGGGAAGGAGTGGTTATGGAAGAGGAGCGAGCAGCTGAGACTTTTTGAATAGAGAATCTCCAAGTTTTAAAATAAGTTTTGTATTGTTCAACTTCTTTTCCGAAATTATTTACAATGTCATCATAATCATGAGATTTAATCCTCATCAAAGTAGACATTGGCAATTTAACAGCATTCCAGCCTTTTGTGATGTCGTCAACAGCCTAAATAATAAATAAGTAAATAACATTGTTAGATGCGTACAATAAATTATATATATATAATTTATTGTACTTACCAGTTCACCAAGTTCACCAGCCCATTTACCAAGGAAACAAGACTTTTCTTCAGTTTTAATATCTTTGGCTAATTGAGTATTTGATAAGAGTGATTGTAGAACATAAGTATTTATTGGAGCAATTACTCCTTTAGATTTCATAAACGGCAATACTAAAATTATATAATAAAAAGATAAACGGTGTTATTATTTAATATTCATTATTAATAATAAATTAAACTGTTTTAATAATAATAAAATCATACATACATGCATCTGTTAATCTTTGAGCTATTGGACCTTCATTTGAATATTGAATATCACTTTCCATCAGTTCAATATAACCACCTTGTCTTGTCACCCTCACCAATTCGGGTATAACCTTTTCTTCCCATTCAGTAGCGGTGAAAGCTGTAACCATTAACCTCATATTAACAAAATCAAAAGTGTCATCTAAAAATGGTAAACCATCTAAAATATTTGCTTGTATGAATTTAACATTGTCGGGTTTCTTTTCTTCGGGAAATATCATTGGCGAAAAATCTACCCCAGTAAATGATGAAGTAGAATAAGTTTCAGACATTTCAGTAATCCAAGATCCGGGTCCGCAACTAGATTTTTAAAAAAAAAATAAAAAAAAGAAGGTTAATTTAAATTCCAACAAATAATAATAAAACCATTATTATTTATTTGTAACAATTTCTCTTCTTCCGACGTACCCAACTTCGAGAACTCTGATTCCTTCATCACTTTTTAATAATTCTTCTACGGGAGAAGAGAAAGCATTTTGCCAAATTCTTTTATACAAGTTATTTTGACGTTGCAGTCTTTCAATTTCTTCTCTAATTAATTTTCTTTGATGAAGTTGTTCTTGATATAGGTTTTGATAGTGTTGTTGCTGATTTGGTAATATTTTTAAATTTTTAATGTTATGAATTCTTTTACCCCCTCCGGTAAATCTCCATGTTTCTTGTATGTTGGCAGAAACATTGTTGTAATAGTTATTACCGTCAAAGGAAAAAAGTACAGAGTTACGTATATTAATGTATTTTTTTAGTTTATTATTATCAGCTTTGTTACTGTTAACGATTGGAGCTGCCCTTGTTGATGCCGAGGTTTTAGAACTCTTTACACCCATAATAATAAATGATATTATTGAAAATATGGTTTAGTTTATATATTTAATTTAAAAATGTTTTTGTTTTTTTTAGAGAAAGTGGAAGGAAAAAAAGAATGACTTTTAAAGGATTTTTTTTGGTAAAAAAATTTTTTTTTTGGTAAAATTCCTTTTTATTGTAAAATTTTCTATATATTTTTTTTTTTTTTTTTTTTTAAAAAAAAATTTTTTAATTTATTCAAATTTAGTCACAAAAGTAATAATAAATAATTAAATTTAATTAATTATTTTTGATTTCCGTAAATTTTTAATATATTAATTTTGGTATTAGTTTGATTTTTTACTTTTGGGGCGGCATTTTTATTTTT